CAGAAGAAAGTGGAGAGAGCACATTTTTGCTAAATTAGGCTGAAAAAAGTTTAAACGAGTGCAAAAAAATGTGGAATTAGCTGAAAAAGCTAAAATTAGCACAAAAAATGCTAAAAAAAAAAGTTGAACTATATAAAATCTGAAACTTGTAGAAATAAGCTGAAAAGATCATAACAAGCTGAAATGAGCAGAAATAAGTTAGAAGAAGCATAAAAATGTTGTAGTTAGCAGAAAGAATCTGCAAGGATCACAAAACAGCTAAAATAACAGCTGAAAGTAGCTGAAATTTTATTTAAATTTGCACAAAGAAGCAGTAACAGGTTGTAAACAGAGCTAAAGAGCCGAAGGATGTAAAATGAGCTCAGTTCATTTCCTATGAGAATAAAAAGTGGCAGAAAAGGCTAAATATTTCAAAAAGCTAAAGTTGCACCAATACCAAAAGTCACAGCAGGATGAAGAGCTGAACGTTTTCATGTGATTTGTTGAAATAGCGCAAAAATTGTGGAACGAGAACAATGCTGAAAAACATACGGAAGAATTTAGCAGCGACTAGGATCACAGCAGAAGCGTTCACAGAATAAAATAAAATAAATGTGGTGGGTTTGTTGCAGGAGGTGGGGACATACAAGGCTCCATCATCACTAAAAGGGGACGGAGTCAGGATGCATATGCTGCAGCTTTTTCAGCATTAAAACCACTCACATCACACACAATGTTCTGTAATTACATAACCTGTCACTTTATACTGTGTCAGGTAAAGCTGCAGTGGATAGAAGTTATATAACATCTGGTTCTGATGTTGGGGACTAATGAGAGCAGGAAGAAGAGACAGATCTCTGAGTGGTCGTTTCATGACGTTCTGAAATGTTTGGGTCAACGTAAACCGCCATGGCAACACAGACAATAGGCTGGAGGAGTGGGCTTCAGTGAAGGGCGCTCAGTCTCCCGCCCGTTTGTCTTCACCAGCCGTGTTCTGACCATTTCCAGGAAATGACCTCAGAAATCAGGCCATGTTCACAGGAAATGGTCCTTTTTTTCCCCCGCACACCGTAAGTTATAAACTTGGCTGTACTGAATCATTTGTGTGCCATGATGGTGTTTGTTATGAGCTTGTTTTTAAGCTCCAGATTTATTACGGGTGTAGAATTTTCCGAACTCCATCTGAGTCTGATAAGACAAACTGTTAGTCACTCACTGGAAAACTGAGACGCTGTCGGAATAAGTTTACACCGAACTTTTATTTTGGGATGTGTGCAAAGCACGTCAGGCATGATCAACAGTTAGTACATGTAAGAATCTGCTAAAGTTCTCAGCTACGTTTTAACCAACCAGCAGCTATTCAAACGTTAATCAGCCTCTTTTAACCAGAGGTTTGCAACTGCAGGCGAACAAGTCGTGAAATCAGGAAGCTTCACTGACACTTAGTGTTAAACTGAAATAAAGATATTCCAAATTAGCTAAAACATAGAAAATTGTACACGCTTTAATTTTATTTTTTATGTGCATTGACTTTTTGATAAAGTTTGACATATTTGAAGCCAGTGACCGTAGCTTCTTTAGCACCAGACAAACAGGAAATGAAGAGTCAGTTTCCATGGGAACAATCATCATGTCTCTAAAAAAGCCGTGTGAGATTGTTCTCATCGCACTGTTGAAGCTTTTAGTGAAGGTAGACAAATCCTGCATTACATTTGTGTTTTATTTAAAGCAGATGTCAAGTAGCTTACCTCACAAAAAAAAACATGGGAATCAAACCAGCAACCTTTAAACAACTCCCACTCTAACCCAACATGCAGCTGGCAATCAGATATTGAGTTTACTATTTTGTTGCTAATACTATGTTATTATTTATTTTATTTATCATTTATTTGAAAGGGACAGATACAAGAAACATAGATCAAAACAATCTAATACCTGCATCACAGTGTTTATAGCAAAAATTAATTCACAACACTCGTCCCTAGATGGACCTTTAACAGTTGGATAATATTAATATTACTATTACTATTTTATTACTATTACTATTTTATTACTATTACTATTAATATTTTATTACTATTACTGTTTTATTACTATTACTATTTTATTACTATCAATTTTACTATTTTATTACTATTACTATTTTATTACTATTACTATTACTATTTTATTACTATTACTATTTTATTACTATTACTATTAATATTTTATTACTATTACTATTTTATTACTATTACTATTTTATTACTATCAATTTTACTATTTTATT